CGAGCAGCTGCATCCAAGCCTTACATCACCAAGTGCAATGCAAAGCATTGGATTCAATGATGTAAAGCACGTCACCACTGGACTCTAGAGCAGTGGAGATGTGTTCTCTGGAGTGACAAATCATGTTTCTCTGTCTTGCAATCCAACGGGCATGTCTGGGTTTGGCGGTTACCAGGAGAACGATACTTGCCTGACTGTATTGTGCCAAGTGTAAAATTTGGTGGACGGGGATTATGTTGTAGGGTTTTTTTTTAGGGGTTGGGCTTGGCCTCTTAGTTCCAGTGAAGGGAACTCTTAAGGTATCAGCATACCAGGACATTTTGGACAATTTCATGCTCCAAACTTTTTGGGGATTGCTCCTTCCTGTTCTAACATGACTACAACCCGATAGAACACCTTTGGGATGAATTAGAGTGGAGACTGCCAGCCAGGCCTTCTTGTCCAACCTCAGTGCCTGACCTCACTAATGCGCTTCTGGAAGAATGGTCAAACATTCTCATAGACACACTCCTAAACCTTGTGGACAGCCTTCCCAGAAGAGTTGAAACTGTTAAAGCTGCAAAGGGTGGGCCAACTCAATATTTAACCCTACAGACTAAGGCAATATAGTGTATGTAAGGGTTTACAACCACTTTAAGCAACCCATACATGAGGCCTTTTTTTGTTGTTCAACCAGCAAAAAAAGGGAATCCTCCCACTGAGCTACTGTAGTCTGACAGCAGGGAGATTTACCCACAGTCAGAATACACTTATCAGTGCTGTCAGCTATAGACTGCAGCACTGATCGAGAGACAAAAAACCAACAGGGTGGTTGTACAGAAAATAAATTGACTGCTGTACAACCTCCATCCAATACATGGATCGAAATTCAGCCAGTCCATGCCAAACAGACTAAATTTCTATCCATGCAAGGCTGGCTTTACTGAATGCCATGTAGGTAGCAAAAATCTGTGTATCGTAGAGAATTGGGGGTGGGGGTAGGAAAGTTTTTGACCTTCTTTTCATTCTTTGTTACATCTTCATGCTGCTATTGTCTTACAGTTTCTTTTATTTTTAGTTTATATTACCTTTAGTAAAACCAACTCCAGAGGTGAGCCCCATCCTGCATCCTTCACAACTACCAGAAGAGAGTCCTAGGGTGGCTTAAAGGATATGTAACATCCCTACCGATACTTACTGGACCACATGTCCATGCTCATGGATGGAAATCTTACACACCCCCTCTGCATTCCTCTTGCAGCCACTTTTCTTGGGAAAGTGCTCAGAGCTGAGATAAGCGGCCATTATGAAGGGACTGTCTTCTTCCTAGCCAGACCAGCCATGGGGGGAGGCGCTCAGTCTGGCCTCTGTAACTATGAGGTCAGACTGGAAAGCACCTAGCAAAATGGGACAAAGTACACTGAATTTGTTCATAATGTTTGCAGTCAGCTATTACTCCTAAGAAACATCTAAACGGTAAGGAATCTTTCCTAAAACATTTTTTAGAGTTGCTGCGTGAATTGGAACACATAACAAACATACGGTTGGGTTTTGACTGTAAAAGAGGAAATATATTTTAAGAAAAAAGTTCAGTTTAAATTTATGGAGTGCTTTCTAAATTATGTGTTGAAATTATGTGATAAAGTGTATCAAGCACTTTTCTATTTTGGATATAATGAGGAAGATTAAGAGCCCCTTTATGGGCTTCTTTGCCACCTGTGTACACTTTAGGGAGATTTACCCTCTCTAATTGTCTTCTTCTGTATTGAATGATGCCCAGTATCGTTCAAGCAATTCCTGTGAGCCCAGGACATCAAGAAGCCGCCCCAAAAAATGCATGCATTACTAATCACTCGAGATTTTTGAACGTAAGTCATAGGTTCTAAAAAATTGCAACAACGGTTTTAGGGTGCATCTCTTACATCCAGCTTCTCTCCCACTGTCGCACCTCCCCCCTCCACTATTGCTGACAATTATATTTCTGTAAAATATAAAATGTGTTCCTTTTTAACTTGTCTACGTTTTCTCTCTTTGGCTTTTATTTTTCTGCATTCTGAGTTTTTTATTTGTACTTTTACAACTTTTATCACCTAATATATATATTTTTTTTTTCATTTGTTTTGCTTGCTTATTTTTTTGTGGCATTTAAAAATAAAATGTGCAAAATTTGAGAAAACAATTACAAATAAAATTGGCATATTATGTACCAGAAGCATACTTTTAGTGTCTTTTTGTTGAATTATGGAATAAAACTGAATTAAGAAAAACTTTTACTGGTCAAAATAGAAAAAATGCATCACAAGTTATCACAAAATAAACAGGCCAAAAGTGAAAACATAAAAATTGTCTTGGTCTTGGGATAAAGATACAAGAGCTGAAGTATTTACACTGCACAGGTTTCAAATGAAAAAGCTGCAGTGAACAACGCCATAGCATTGTATGGGACTGGTTTCTGCAGCATTCAGAACCTGTGCACAGCTAGAGGAAGAGATAGGAAAGAGGACCTGTGATGTCGTGGAACAAAACCAAAGAAAAAGAAGAAAAAAGAATATATAAAAAGAACAAAAAAAAAACAATTAGGTGCTCCAAAGAGGGGGGAAACCAACCTGGACTTGGGTTTGAGGGCATATTTGTTTTTTCATTTACAGTTTTGTTTTCTTAATTCTTTTTTATGAAATTAAAAACAGTAGTAGTGATATATGTTTTTACACAGTGGTGTAATAATAGCCATAGCAGTCCTTTCAGCTGTTAAGGGGCCTGGCATAGGAGGGGGCCCTATTAGGAAGGCAGTTATGGAAAACTGAACAGTGTACTTCCAGTATAAATGGACTGGAGTCAGATAGTAGAATCATTCTTGCTAGTCAAAGATCCCCCTCTGGGCAGTAGCAGCATCTTCTTATCTGTCTTAGCAATGTGCATTTATTATCTGCTGATTCTGCTTCAGACTCAGATTAACTCTGTATGCTTAGTTTCAGTCAAAAGTCACAGTTTCTCCTCTGCTGAAGCCTTAAAAGACAGCTGTATGTAATTCTACAAAAAAGAAGTTAAAGATAAATACATTTTTGCCAATTGTGTCATAATATAAAATATCATTAAGGGTATCACTCTTAATATTGCTATTACAACTTTTATTCGTAGCACTTGTCTCTAATAGTGTGACTATGCTGACGGCTCTCCTGCACTTTTCACTGATTTAGGCATACATTTATATTAAGATCAATGACACAAAGGGGTCGATTTACTAAAAGAGTTCAGAATCTGGTGCAGCTAGCCAATCAGCTTTTACCTTCAGTACTGACAAAAAAAAACTGGAGAAGCTGATTGGTTTCTATGCAGAGCTGCACCAAATTTAGCTATTTCAAGTTTTAGTAAATCAACTCCATATTGTCATAGTTGACAAAGCCATCTGCTACAGAATGTGTTAGCCATGGAGGCCCCAATAAAATATTGCTAAGGGGCCCTATAACTCATAGTTTTGCCCCTGTTTACATGGTATATTCCTCATAAATGACCCAAAAGGAAAATAACATTGCATTTTTAGTTTGGGCTAATTTTGAGTAATTGTAATCCTGACCTGTAAACTATTTTAAGGAATGCATAGTGGCTTTGTACATCTTTTCTTCCTTCATTATGGTCAGGACCACAAAATGAAATTGTTTTTTTAACCAGTTAATTATCAAATATTGTATAATATACTACTGTACAGCCAGCAGATGAAGCTTTAGTGCCCTTTCAAATGTTTTGCCATGCCTGCTTCATTCTTTTGCTATGAGAAGCCTATTGTTTATAGAATCCAGTAGCTCAAGCTAAAATTTACACATATAAATGAATGAGTGAAAGCTCTGGCTCATCCCTTTACACATGGCTTAGTCTGAATTGAAAAGTCAATCAGACAGAACCAACCTAAAGCTTTCTCTTTAGATAACCCATAGTACTCTGTGAATACTTTATCATGTATTAAATGTCTTTTTGTAAAAGAAAAGAATAGATTGACACTGAGATGAAAAAGGAGTAAAGCACAATTGCACTGCATTGCTACAGAAAAGAAACAAAAAAAGAAACACAATATAGGTATGTAACGAGCAAATATAGTTTTCCCTGTGTGCTTACATAATTAAATATTCTTAAAAAAACAAATGGGTCCAGACAAACACCTAAATGCACTCATGGGAATTGTTTTAACTGCCAAAGGATTTGTAATTATGTTAATCCAGTCTTGTGATTTAGGCATGCCTGCCAGACAGCACATCCAGGTCTTTGGTCTCCTCTGGAACACACACTAAACCTGCTGATTGGTCATTGAAGAAGCAGTAGCACAGTGATGAGCTCATCACTTTGCTCACTTTGATAAAGCCCCCTGTCAGAATGATCCATAACAACACAAAAGTACAGAAATATAGCATGGCTTGCTCAGATCTATGGCTGTTGCTCTCCCAGTCTGCTCTTAAGAGGATTACAGGAGTCTGATACTAAGAAAAATTCAGGTTCCTATACTAGTTCAATTAATGTATATTAAATGAAACATTTAACTATAGATACATTCAGATTCTTATACTAGCTGTATATGTTTACACCACTCCTCGCAGAAACATGAAGGTCACCACTGCTCACATATCAAGTTGCTACTAGTTATCCCCAGCTTTTTCGATTGAATGACAGCCAGCATCCTTTAACCACTTGCCCTTCTGATTTACCCCCCTTCTTGACCAGGCCATTTTTTTTGGAATACGGCACTGCATTACTTTACCTGACAATTACGTGGTCATGTAGCGCTGCACCCAAATGAAATTTTTGTCCTTTTTTCCCCCACAAATAGAGCTTTCTTTTGATGGTATTTGATCACCTCTGAGTTTTTTATTTTTTGCACTATAAAAAAAAAAACATGAACAATTTTGAAAAAAAAAAAAAAACAATACAATTTCGTCATGAATTTAGGCCAAAATGTATTCTGCTACATGCCTTTGCGGAAAAAAAAATCCCAATACATGTAAATTAATTGGTTTATGTGAGAGTTATAGCAT